CATTAAGTCATTTATTTGTGTTCTTTCTGATTTTTTGATGTAGGCACTTAGAGCTATAAACTTCCCTCTAAGGACAGCTTTCAGTGTGTCCCAGAGGTTTTGTTGTGTTGTATTGTCCTTTTCATTTAGTTCCAGGAATACTTTTATTTCTTTCTTAATTTCTCTTTTGAACCATTCATCATTTAGGAGTGTGTTGTTTAATCTCCATGTGTTCATGTGGTGACTAGGGCTTCTTCCGGTGTTGATTTTAAGCTTTATTGCATTTTGGTCTGATAAAATGCATGGAATTATTTCAATCTTTTTGTATTTGTTGAGGTTTGTTTTGTGCCCCAGTATATTTTCAGTTTTGGAGAAGGTTCCACGGGGTGCTGAATAGAAAGTATGTCCTTCGGGGCTTGGGTGGAATACTCAGTAAATGTCTGTTAAGTCCATTTGATATATGATATTGTTTAATTCAGATGTCTCTGTTAACTCTCTGCCCTGTTGACCTATCTAATGGAGACAGTGGGGTATTGAAGTCCCTGAGTATTAATGAGTTGGGATTAATCTGGGTCTTAAAGTCATGTAGTATTGTTTTTATGAAGTTGGGTGCACCAGAGTTTGGTGAGTATATGTTCATGATTGTAATATCTTCTTGGTTTTTTGTTCCTTTTATCAGAATGAAATGGTCCTCTTTATCTCTTCTGATTAGTTTTAGTTTAAAGTCTATTTTGTCAGATATTAGAATTGCAATGCCTGCTTTTCTCTTAGTACCATTCACTTGGTATATATTTTTCCATCCTTTCACCTTAATATAGTGCCTGTCCTTGAAAGTGAGGTGAGTTTCCTGTGGACAACAAAAAATTGGGTTTTGTTTCTTAATCCATTCACCTAGTCTATGTCTTTGACTGGGGAGTTCAGTCCATTAATATTTAAAGTTATTAATGAATGATGTGTATTGAATCCTGTCATTTTTATTTCTGTTCACGTTCTTGATATAGCTTTACTTTTCCACAGTTACACATACCTTCACTGAATTTTATGGGTGACTGCGCTCTCTCTGGGCGCAGGGTGTGCTCACTCCCTGCGGGTCCACAGACTGCTCTGGGAAACTGCGGGAGTGGTGGGCGCCCTGCAGGCTTTCCCA